CATTTGACTTGATCTTAAAAAAAAAAAAAAAAAACTTTGCTTTCACCTTCCTTAATTTCTCCCTGTCCTATAAGCGAGCTGCTGAACAATGCCTGAAACTTTGTATTGTCACTTGCACAATCGAGGCAGTGTCGCATCGTCACTAAAGTTTATACATTGCATTTCTTTTTAATTCTTGCCAGTGTTTAAACTGTTCAGCACTCGCACGCTCTCCTGGAGACTGAGCGCTCATGCACACTCGAAACGCACACACATAATGCCAGGATAAGTCCGTTTGCAGTGCGTATGCGGTGCGTATTTCTCTCGCGCTCATGTTAACGGATTAAAGCGTTCACACTGCACACGGTTGTGTCCGGCAGTGCATCCAGGAGCGGTGCGTCTGCAGCAGTGCAGAGATCGTTTCCGTTGCACACGCTGAATTAAGTAACAGCGCATTGTTTGCGGAAAATATGAACATGGATTGACACTAAAATGTAGTAATTACACCATAAATGCAAATAATTAAAGTCTACTGTGTTTCACAGTCAACACATATGGCTTTTTGGCTAGGTTTAAAGGAAAAGAGCACTTTTAGATAAACAAGGCAATAATAGATGGCACTGGTGGAGGAAGGTAAACAAAGTTCTTTATGAACGCAGGATTCCTTGTAAAGAAGATTTAAATGCAAAAGAAAAGGAAGTAGAGCTGACTGTTTCTGTCAATGGTAAGTTTAACCCTAAAAATGGCAAGACCATAAAGAGACATCAGAAAATTAATTTATTGCTACTTTTCCATCTTATTGGGACACAAATAATACAACTTGATAATTATTTTCAAAACATGACTTTTAATTTTGATTTTAAAGTTTGTATCCCACAGGATACGTTGCCACTTTGGGGGTATAAATTCACTGAAAACAGAACACTTGTTTATCAATGCTTGTTACAACATGGTTGTAATTCCTGAACGCTTTGGAATACAGACCTAAGGTTGGTCTCTTTTTAAAGAAGACACATAGCAGATTATTGCTGAAGTGAAAGCATTTCAAAAAAAGAAAGTATAAAAAAGTTATAGAAGTTTAAATTTGCAGTAAAGATAATGCAGTATACTATTTTTTTACATTTGTATATAAAATAAATACTTTATAAAATATGTTGCACTTCAAATTGCTATAAAATCTAAGCCATATGTCTAACCAAGTTATGTTCCAAATTTGAAGGTGATATCACCAAAATTGTGGTTCCTGTGAGATTTTGTTTGGGCGCTATACCAAAAATAACCACTGGGTGACACCCAAACTCTATTGAATTCTTTTGATGCAGTTTGCTGTCACAAATCAATCATTTTCTGTCACAACATCACTTCTATTACAAAACAGTCACCAAATATGGAACCTGATCTGTCAGACCTTTCCAACGATATGTGTTTTGTCAAGATTACAAAAAGATTTGATTTTCTAAAACACAAGCCACAAAATCACAGAGTATATATATATACAGTGGTGTGAAAAAGTGTTGGCCCCCTTCCTGATTTCTTATTTTTTTGCATGTTTGTCACACTTTAATGTTTCAGATCATCAAACAAATTTAAATATTAGTCAAAGATAACACAAGTAAACACAACATGCAGTTTTTAAATGAAGGTTTTTATTATTAAGGGAAAACAAAATCCAAAAATACATGGCCCTGTGTGAAGAAGTGTTTGCCCCCCTGTTAAAACTGGTTTATCACACCTGAGTTCAATTTCTCTAGCCACACCCAGGCCTGATTACTGCCACACCTGTTCGCAATCAAGAAATCTCTTAAATAGGAACTGCCTGACAAAGTGAAGTAGACGACGAGGGCGGTTGGCGACACTAGGATGTGACTGGAGCAGAGATGGAAGGAAGTGACGTAGGATCAGGAAGTGAGCTGGACATAGAGGATGAATGTATTGGCGGGGAGAAAGGAGGTAAAAATGGAAATTGGAACATAGTAGAAAATCGGAAAAGGAAAAAAAAATGGAATCAACTTTCTGGTTCGGAAAGTGAAAGGGAAAGACAACAGGAGAAAAGGAAAAAGGAAGAGTTTAAGGTAATGATACATTTCTTGTCCGATAATATGAATGCATTGAACCCACTGAAAATAACTAAAGCGATCAAAGAAGAGATCGGGAAAATCGAACATGCGAAAATGTTACGGAATGGAAAGTTGCTACTTTTTTGTAAAGATAGCAGACAACAAAAACAGGTACTAGGCTTAAAGACATTAGCAGGGAAAAAAATTTCGTGTACACTGTTGGAAGAGAAGAAATGGATGAAGGGAGTAATAACAGGGGTCCCAACAGATGTATCAGAAGACTTTTATCTTTTACTAATATTTAAATTTGTTTGATGATCTGAAACATTAAAGTGTGACAAACATGCAAAAAAATAAGAAATCAGGAAGGGGGCCAACACTTTTTCACACCACTGTATATATATGTTTTTATATCTTGATTTATACCCCTAAAAGAGCGATGTATCCCCTGAGATACAAACATTTAGAGACAGATTACAAAAAATGTAAGCATTTAATTCATAGAATTTCAATGTAAACCTAATAAGCTAATGCTGAACAACCCTAAAAGAGCGATGTATCCCCTGAGATACAAACATTTAGAGACAGATTACAAAAAATGTAAGCATTTAATTCATAGAATTTCAATGTAAACCTAATAAGCTAATGCTGAACAACAGCTTTTTAAACGGGTAAGTCCCCTCCAACGTGTGTAAATATGTGACAACTTTCGCAACTTTTATCAGAGGGTGAGTAGATTTTCCACTACAGGCGGCCAGGCAGGTTTAAATGCTGCCCGTGAGCTAAACAAAGAATGTATGAACAAAATCAATATATCTAAATATTCACAGCAAACACCCTTTCAACATGAATCCAAGAAATGAGACCTACACTTTCCCTGCCTCTCCCCACAGCCTCTCAAATGTTTGTATCCCACAGGATATGTTGCCAGTTTTAGGGTTACATTTATGTTTGTGATAACTTAAGAAAAGGAGTTTAAATGTTTTGCCACTTGCTTGAGCATCTTAATATATAATTCTAGAAGTAAATGCAAAAGTAATAAGCATCGAATAATGTGGTGCTTATATTTATTGCCTTTAAACACGTCTATGAAAGATTGCATTACTGTACTGTGTAAAAAAAAAGAATCACAATGCAGAAAAAGCATTTTCAGTGACAGTGTTTGGATTTGAAATCAAAATAATGGATAAATGTTGTGTTTGTGGTAAACAGCCACGGATCAGAAGCGGACTCCTGTGTGAAAGCATGCAACAATTGCACAATTGTAAAAACAAAAATGCACAGCATGATCAAACATTTAGGTGAGATAAATATATA